ACTGGTTAATATTTCATTTATGTAGAGCAGACTTCGTATCAGTCTATTTTGTCTGGCTTGAGGTTTCATACAAGACGATAGCATTACTTATTTACTACGAAAGTTTTGTTCCGAGTGTTAGTACACGAACTTAAAATGAATGTTAATTACATTTCGTTTATCACCAACCATGGAGCAAGTAACATCAGCAGAAGGTGCCCAGTTTTGTTCCCTTTTGAGAGAATGAGTGCACTCACAATAGTTTATATTAGCAGCATGACCACACTAACTCTTTTTTACTAGTAAGAGTCCACCGAGAACCATCAGTATCTAGTATAAAGGTTTCTGTCTCTGGTACAAATTACTTTCAGATCATTGGTCTTCGTCACCGTACTGAGAAGTGTACTGGAAATTCCTTCCGCCTTTTAGTGACGTTTTTCGGCTCCAGCATTTTAAAAGCGGATGTTCATACAGGTTTTAATATCTTAATTAATGAAAAGCTAAATAATAAACATTCTTCTGGCGCTCTTGAGATCCCAAATTTCATCGAAAAAAAAGTACTGAATTACATACTACTAGTCTTCGTGATCAATATACCATTCTGCACATGGAAATTTCCTTGTCTGCTAAAAACCGGAAGGGTGATTACAGAATACAAAAACTCCCTCCCTCCGAGCTGAGTAATTACAGACCAGTAACGATACCATCAACTTTTCAAAAGTAGTCGAGTACTGCTTCCTGGACAGGTTGTTTTTGTTTATGGTAAATAATGAGATCTTGACAGAGAATCGACACGGTTTTCGAAATGGAAAGTCTACGGCAACAGCAATTCACAACTTCTACGGAACTCTTGTCAAATGCGCCTATTAAATCCGACAAGACTCACATACCCATCGTAGGCGTCCCTCAGGACCTGTGCTATTCGGTCTATACTTGAAGGACCTTGTGTACTGTTCCTCTGAAGATAGACTCATTTTATATGCAAATGATACTTCAGTGATGATATCGAATAAGCGTGGGGCAACATTAGAGCACAATTGGTTTAGCAACAATCAGCTCGATTTAAATTCTGAAAATATATCAGTTACCCAATTTCACAACATCCAGAAGAAACCTATGGCATTAAATATCACTGTTAATGTCTCAATAATGTCCCTTGAAATGCAAGTAAAATTCTTGAGACTGTATCTAGATACAGGTTTGAATTCTAAAGACCACGGTGTATGTATTGCTTCAAAAATAATCCACCAATCATATACATACTAAGTGACATATAAATCCGACCACCCAGTTTAAATGGTTTTATTTTGAGTTGGTGAATGTATTTATCTTACTGTAAATAACAAGTGAAAAAATGATCAGCCTTATCAGTTGGACATTCCGGTTTTTATACTGTTTTTTTTTTAATTCACTAACGCTCTAAAAATGAATATTTCAGCCGCAGTAAAGAATCAACGTTGGCGGATTTTGGTTCTTGACATCCTTACGATCGGTTACGATGCCTAGAGTACGGAGACCTGTACGATTTAGTGAGTTTGTTAGGGGCCGTATAGTGGGACTTCGGGAAGCTGGACTTTCTTTTCGGGCAATTGCAGTTAGAGTGCAAAGAAGTGTAGACACTGTGGTTAGGTGTTGTCAGGCATGGCTTCGAGAAGGCCGTACGCAAAGAGCAAGGGGCACTGGACGCCGCCGTAGAACAACAGACCGTGAAGATCGCCGCCTAAGATTATTGGCCTTAAGGGACCGTTTCTCCACTACCAGGTCCATTGCAAATGAATGGTTTGCAGAACACGGAAGACCTATTGGCATGCGAAGTGTTTACCGACGAATGAGAAGTTTTGGCTTGTTTTCATACCGGCCACACTGGGTCCTCCCTTTAACTCGAGAACACCGACGTAATCGCCTTGAGTGGTGCAGACAACGGTCAATCTGGGATCAGGAATGGAACAGTATTGTCTTTAGTGACGAGTCTCGATTTTGTTTAGGCATGCACGATGGTCGTGCCAGGGTTAGAAGGCGACGTGGTGAAAGGAGGAATCCACAGTTTTTTGCTGAAAGACATGTTCATCACACTGTTGGAGTTATGGTTTGGGGTGCTATAGCTTATGGTTCCAGGTCACCTTTAATCTTCATCAGAAGTAAAATGAACGCGCAGCGTTATATCCACGAAGTTCTAGAACCCCATCTTTTACCCTATCTTGACACCCTGGCAGATCCGACTTTCCAACAAGATAATGCCCGATCACATGTTGCAAGAGTCACAATAGACTTCTTTCAACATAATGATGTCACATTGTTACCATGGCCACCAAGATCGCTCGACTTATCCCCAATTGAGCACGTGTGGGATATGATGGGTAGGAGATTGCTCAATTTGCAACGTCCTCCTTAGACTCTAGAAGCACTTCGAGAGGAGTTGGTGGTTGCCTGGAATGAGATACCACAGGAGGACATTGACCACCTGATCAGAAACATGCCTAGGCGCGTTGGAGAATGCGTAGCACATCAGGGTGCATCCACACATTATTAAAGGTCAAAGGGCTTTAAAGCAGTGCAATCATTTTGAAATTTTTATCATTTACTTATTATGCTTCATTAACTACTTATACAAAATTTTATTAAAATAAAACCATTTAAACTGGGTGTTCGGATTTATATGTCACTTAGTATATTAAAATCTGCAAACGGTTCTTACTGGAGCACAGTTAGCGTCTGTTTACTACGTTCAAGTTGAAACACGACTTAAGTATGCACTATGCTTCTGGGGCTTGTCCACAAATGCCCAGCAAGTATTCTTGGCCAGCGTCGTGCGCTCGTAAATTTTCTAATACGCGCTTCCATGTGAAGCGCTAGCGTTTATTCTGTATATTTTTAAAGAGAGCATCATATGAACGCGCGTCGAGAGCGCTTCGTCTGAACTGGGCCTTACGATATATTTTCTAAAGAAAACAGTCGCGAGTATAGAAACACCAGCACACGTTCGCCGTCATTGAGTAATAATAGTTCCACACTGTCGGGAGCGCATTCCAGTCACGAATCGTTTCCTCTGTCCCAAGGAATTTTACGCTGTTTTCTGTGATAAATCAGACACATGAACGAATTTATACTTTTAGTTACTACGAAAGCGTAAACAGTATTGGACATAGACGCACGTTTAGTTACAATAGATATGCTGTGCTTTTCAAAAAGGTCTTCCACTAATCAATGTCTAAACAGGTCATATTAGCAAGCTATTGCAGAGTGATTAAATCGATGCGTGGTTACTACAAAGGGTGACCCATCAATGCATCAATAGATTACTGTACGACTAAGTCACTTCGAAACCTGAGCTTTCTCAAAGAACAGAATCAAATATTCTAAAAGACCTTTACATGAGAATTATAACAAGGAAACTTTGAATGCATTTCTCCTAAAATACGAATCTCTACCAACCACCAAGCACCAGAATCCACAAACCTATATAATCATAATCATAACAACAGTAACGATAATGTTTTTTTACATCAGGCGAGATTTAGATACTATATCTATTCTACCACCTAAACGCCTTAGCAATATGATATGTATATAACTGAAAAATTGTTGAATACCTGTGTAAAATAACGACAAAATAAAGTATAGTATAATCAATGTAAAGGCATTAAGAAAACACTTTTGGGTTAATAATAATAATAATATTTATTTAATGTTTTAAACAGTATGAAAATACACAATATGTTAGCAAATAAATATTCTAGAGCGCCCAGAAGGTACCCACCTGGTGTCAAACAACAACAGAATCTGTTTACTGCTGATCAAGTAGAATTTCGATTCTCAAGGTAGGTTTGAATAAACGAAAGAGGTTTTCAGAAAATCGATAATAACTGCATTTAAACACAAGAAGTGAGTGATTATTTATGTTAATGTTTAAGTAAAGTCAAGAAGTATGTTGGTGGTTAAGCGCCATTGTTATATTGTCTGTTAAATCGCAGAGTGCCGAAACTGTAGTTATGACCTTGTCGAAATCCAGATCGTTTAGATGATTGATTCCCAAAGTGGTCTATATCGACCCCTAGGGGTCTATGACAACCCGCAAGGGGTCTACGTCAGCGAAAAAGAATTTGGGGGTCCATGAAATGAATATGGGGGTCCACGATAGTGGATCTCAACACATACACTGATAGTACCTATTTACTTACATCATACTATCTTATAATATCAAAACATATACATTATTCATAAAAGTACCTATGAAGTAAAAAATGTATTATATATGTTTATAAAATTGTGTAAGTTGTAGGATGTTGGTATTCGCTTTGTGGTCGCAATACATTTTGAACTTGTAAAAACCTGAGAGTCGCAGTCTCAGAGCTTCGCTACCTTGCACTGACTTGTTCAATTCGTCACTCTATAAATACGAATGTGGGACAAATACGTTTATTCGTTTCCTGAATCTTGAAAAGGAAAGTGCTAAGAAAATATTTTAAAAAATATAAACAGATAGTATAGCACACAAATTATAGTGAGCCAGTGTTATTTTGTTTGAGAGTGCTGGAGAAAAGTAAGTACATTATTTTTTATTAAATTTTAGTTTTGTACTCGTAGTTAGCAAAGATAGATAAATTACGCCAATCATGACTTTAGTTATTAGTAGTTAAATACGAGTATTCAATCTTGCAAAATTACACGAGTACTCCTCAATAGTTTCTTTTTGAAAGTTTTAGCAATCGGTAATATAATTACAGTGCAATCTCCGTAATTCGAGCTAATTGTTACAAGAAGATGTTCGAATTATGGAATGTTTTCGGAAAAATCAAAAAATATTTTTAATATACAGCTGCTGGATTTTCTGTCTTATTTAAATAATTTAATTTTGCCCACAGATGACTGATGCCATGTCCGAATCTAAAAAGAAATGTAGACAGTACAGTGTTGATTATTTGAAATTTGGCTTCATTCCATCATTGCCGGACAAACAATCGCCTATGTGCCTTTTATGCAACAAAGTTTTGGGCAATGACGCTATGAAACCATCTAAACTGCAAGATCATCTGAGAAGATGCCACCCTGATAAAACAGAAAGATTTGAAATACTTTCAAACATTCAAAGATAAATTTCAGAAGAGACCTACATTGAACAGAATGTTCGCTTCGACGTCACAAAGAAATGATGATGGTTTGCGGGCGTCTTACAATATCTCGTTACTTATAGCAAAATCCGGAAAACCGCATACTATCGGAGAGAAGTTAATTTTGCCAGCCGTTGAAGAGGTTTTAAAAACTGTTTTACACAAACCTGCATCTGATATCATTAAAAGAATTCCCTTAAGCAACAATACTGTTGAAAGACGTATTGATGAAATGAGTTCTGATATTGAAAGCTTCTTATGCAATTATTTGCAAACGACCCATTTCTCTATACAACTGGACGAGTCAACTTTACCTGATAATGCAGCATTATTATTGGCATATGTTCGTTTTTTTATGAATCAAGAAATCTAAGAAGAACTGCTCTTCGCAAGATCTTTGATAACCGACACTAAAGGTGAATCAATATTTCATGTTTTGAAGGATTACTTCATTGAAAAAGCAATTCCTTTATCAAATATAATATCAGTAGCTACAGATGGAGCACCTGCCATGGTTGGACGTTATCGTGGATTTATAAGCTATTTAAAACAAAATGTGTCAGGGGTGTTAGCAATACATTGCGTCATCCATCGACAACATTTAGTTGCTAAACATTTGAGTGTTAGATTGCATGAATCACTTCATTTAGTCATTGATGCAGTAAACCGAACCCAAAGCAACACGTTGAATGCGCGGTTATTTGCGCAGTTGTGTGAAGAAAATGACGAACACTTTCATCAATTACTCCTTCCCACTGAAGTACGCTGGCTGTCGAAAGGATTATGTTTGACAAGATTTTTTGCACTTTTTAAGACTATTTTAGAATTTCTGGATACTAAAGATAAAATTTTAAAAGAAAATTTAATGAAGAGGAAAACGGACATCGCCTATTTAACAGATTTGTTTACAAAATTTAATATGGTTAATTTGCAATTACAAGGCGACTGTTTAAATTTGATTAAAACAAAGTCTATCTTATCAGCGTTTCTTGCCAGAGTTAAACTAATGAAGCAAAATATTGGACGGGGCGAATTTTCTCAGTTCTCCAATTTGTCACAGACAAGCTGTCAGGAAGACGACGTTTCAACTTACGTTCAACATTTAAATGCCCTCTATTCAGATTTTGAATCTAGGTTTGAGAATATTTTGACTATGGTAATACCACCGTGGATAATTAATCCATATGGTGACATAGAAGAAACGAATGTCATAATACAAGAGGAACTGACTGAACTAAGTACAAACGAAGAACTTGAGGTTCAGTTTAAAAACGGATATCAGCAATTCTGGCCGCAAAACAACATACCCGTTACTTATCCCGTATTATGGAATATAGCGAGGAAACTTTTAATTTCCTTTCCATCGTCATACCTAGTGGAAAGGGGGTTCAGCGCTGTTACCAATCTCCTAACGAAAAAAAGAAACAGACTGGACATCATTAGCCGAGGAGATTCAAGATTAACCCTTACAAAATTGACGCCAAATGTTGATAATTTATTATTAAAGCATCAGGTTCATCCTTTTCACTGAAAATATTGACTTATTGCTTATGTTATTTTATTTATAGTTTATTTTATGTTTATTGGTGTCTGACCAATAAATGCCCGCATTGGGAATAAGTGCCCGCATTGATTTTTTTAAAGAAGCCCCCTTTATAGAAAATATTTTTTTTTAAATTATTCTGAAAATTCAAGGATAGGTACACACTAAAATTCGTTAATTTTTTGCTTATTTTTAGATAACTTAAACGTATAAGAAGCGGAATTTAATCAAACTAACAGTGAAATTATTGTAGAACATACGTTTATGTTATAATTAATAAACGAACTCGCTTATTGTACTATTTTAAGTAAAAACTTTTTTTTATTATTTTTCTCTTTTTTTATTTCATCCCTCTTATTTTTTTTTCAATGCAGGCACTTATTCCCATGCGGGCACTTATTGGTCAGACACCTGTTTATTTAATGTTACGTATATTTTACATAACAGATACAAAATTTTATTTTGAGTAGTTTTAATTTAAATTCAATTAATAAATGTATAAATTAACATGTGTTTTTACTTTAAGTTTTTAACACTAAACGTCACTACAGTTAGAAATTTACAGGAAATCAATATCAGGTAAGTAGGGGGTCTACCCAACACGAAAAAACATTCCAAGGGGTCTGCGACACAAAAAAGTTTGGGGAACTCTGGTTTAGATGGAATAATTTTGTTAGAGTAGAGAAAATAGACAGTAAAGTGATCGGTCTCAGGTGACCATACAATCATATGCAAAGATATTCCATCTAAACCACTAGAATTTGATTTTATTTTGTGAATGATTTTAACAACGGTGCCAAGATTCACTTTACTGCATTGAAATTCGGATTTTGAGTTATTGCTATTAGCTCCATAGTGTGCAATTCCGTCAGCCCATCTGAAATTATTGTTCTCAGAAATTGGAATTTACACGTATCTGATAAACTGACGGGAAATCTTTCTGAGGTTGCATTTTGAAAGTCTTTAGGGTTTTATATCCTGATTTTGAACAGCTTGTAAATAATCCATTTGTCCTTTCCGCACGAGTATTAATGCACGATTTCTGAAATATGTATATTTTTGCCAAGAGGCGGTACAATCACGTTTTTACTTTGACAAAACTTCAGCTTTCTGCTTGAATACAAGTTTAATATTGTCATCTAACCAACGAGTTTACACGCACTATCTCTTTTGGTCAGTGAGTATTGAATAAATATAAAATTTTGTCTGTTGAAAAGTTCATTTTACCTTCAATGTCATCTATAGACATAATATGCCAGCATGGAAAACTCTTGAGATCGTGTTCAAATGTTATTTCATTTAAACTATGACAATCTACTATTAGAAGTTTCATGTGGCATATATCATAATCGATACGTTTTCTGCATCTCTGATCACGTAGTCATCCTCCGAATTATTACAGTATATTCAGATAAGAGATAGACCGGATGTAAACAAAAGGTTCGGGTGATTTTCACGCTAACGCCGCCGTCTCGACGTAAAACAGGAGCCCTCATTGGTCAATTCGCAATTAAATGCCTATGCCGAGCGGCAGAGCAGTCGTATCAAGGCAGAGTCACATTCAGGTTCAGACGTGTTACGTATGTCGTGTGCATCATTGCAATTTGATATTTCTTTGGACGTTTTCGTTTGTTATCTTATTAAGTTGTTGAGTTTGTCGTTGTTATTGTTATACCTTGTTATTGATTGTTATTGTTATCAACTGCTTGCGCAAAATGCCCAGTAGTACAGATACTGCCGATGAAGTTGTAAACTCCTGCAGTCCACCTAGGAAACGCTCTAAAAAAAGACATCTGAGTGCAGAAATGAAAGAGGTCATTTTGAATATATATAAGATCGAGCGCGAGGAGAACGAGGCATCAACCATCAAAGAAATTGTTGTGAAGGTTTCTCACAAAGTTGGGGTGTGTCGCGCATCAGTGTTTAATGTGTTAAGACAATACAAAAAAAATCACACCTTTTCTGAGCCAATGACCAGTAAACATCGCAAAGGTATTGTTAAATCATTGGATGAAGCTGATAAGCATGCGATTAGGAGGAAAGTGCATGAATTCTTCTTTAGGAATGAAATACCTGCTATAGATAAAGTACTGCAGGAGGTAAATGGAGATACAACGTTGCCAAATTTCAAACGATCAACTTTCCATGCGTTACTGAAGCATTTAAATTTCTAAATGGAAAAAACGGGATCGTAATAGTTTACTACTGGATAGAGAAGAAATTGTGCTATGGAGGAGGGATTATTTAACAAAAATTGGGAAATATAGAAATCAAAACAGGAAGATTTATTACCTTGATGAAACGTGGGCAAACGCAGGACACACTACAAATAAAGTATGGGTTGATGATTCTGTAACTTCATCCAGGAGGGCCTTTCTAGATGGACTGTCCACCGGATTAAAAAATCCAGCAGGTAAATACGAGTAATAGACAACAATCGGATGTTTTTCTAACCTTGGGAACAAGGTTCTAAACATTAATTCCAGGGGGCAGAAAAAACATATTACAAGTAACAAAACTTTTATAACTTTCGATAAAATGCGTGGATGTTTTATTGTCATTTTCATTTGTTAGAACTTTTTTAAGCCATGTTTTTATGTGTTTTCGATATTTCAATAATTTTTTAATATAATCTTAAAATATGTCGAATATTATAAACTTAAAAAAAGTTACTAAGTTTTATATTGTGTACCGTTCCTAATATTTCTAATCATTTTAATTCATACTTTAAGCTTTATAAAGTTATAATTTGTTAATATTAATATTTGCGCGTATTTCAGGTTCCTGATCATTCATTTTTTAAAGGTTTATAACTTTAAATTAAATTGTGAAGCGCTGAGTAATCATACGACGTTCAATATTCTTTCTTTCAATATGACTAAATAATCCCAATTATAGCAATCTAGTACACATGTCTCAATGTTTTTTCGCTGAATGTGATGAAAACATTTGAAAAAGGTTCGCTTATTGAAATAAATCTACACCAGTTAGTACTTGGATTTCCAGGTAAAGGGAAAAGGCTCATTATCTGCCATATTGGCAGTGAGGATGGATTTGTTGTTGACGGTCTGTGGTGCTTTGAGTCTAAGAAAACTGGAGATTACCACGAGGAAATGAATGGCGAATCGTTTGAACAGTGGTTTTCAAAAATTTTACCGAACTTAGAGGAAAACGCAGTAATTGTGTTGGATAATGCGCCTTATCATTCTCGAAGAATGGAGAAGGTCCCAACAACGGCTTCAAGGAAAGTTGATGTTTAAAATTGGCTCCGCTCGAAAAATATCAACTTTGAAGAAGCAATGCTGAAAGTACAATTATTAAGAATTGTCAAGGATCACAAGGCGGAATATCAAAAATACGCCATTGACGAAATGGCAGCAAGTCAAAATAAAACTGTGCTCCGTTTACCTCCATACCATTGCGAGCTCAATCCCATTGAGCTCATATGGGCAGAGGTTAAAAATTATATAGCTAAGCACAATACAACTTTTAAATTTTGTGACCTCAAAGGACTTTTCAAAGAAGCACTAGAATTAATAACAGCGCAAAAATGGGAAAACTGTATTAAGCACGTGAAAGACAAAGTTGAAAAGAGAATGTGGGAACTGGACAATATTTTAGAGGAACAAGTCGAGCCATTCATTATTGACGTTGGTGCTTCAGGCAGTAGCGATGATGAAAGCTCATCAAGCTCATCTTTCCAATAAAAGATGTCGTTCATCAAATTCGGTAAGTTATAAGTAATTATAAAGCTACTGTATTTTTTAATTAATTATTGACATTTTTGAACCCATTTTGGCAAAACCTATTCAAGAATCTACTTTCTGACAATGTTCACCATGCACATTTTTTTACGTTTTGAACGTTTTAATTTGGTTACATATCTACCTAGAAATGAAAAAATATACTAATCAATATTCTAAAAGCAATTTTAAGAGATATACGATTATTTTTAATTTAGGCTAATTTAAACGCCATTTTGAGATTATATTCGACTGTATTTCACCAAACATCAGGCGGCATCCGAAGCCGGAAATCGAAGCGAAAATTTTGAAACCCTTATGTATATTTACATCATTATATATTTCTTACCCCACCCCCACATGATCCTATATCTATCACCAATCGTATACACATCGAATTGTGCTAATTTACTACAAAGTTACGCAAAGCAGCATCTACTATCTAAAATATGTACTGCGTGACTCTTAATACGTCCCTGCCGAATGTTACAGCGTTCGATGATCACGTGGTCTTGTTTATGTCCGGTCTATCTCTTATCTGAATATACTGTAATGACAGACATCTGCGCGAGTCTCAAGCAGTAACAATTTTAGGCGCCATGCACAACAAAACGTGTAATTAGTCTAACTACATACACATACGTGTTAATTGTATTACATATGCAATTTTACTGAAACTGCAATTTACATAAAAATGAATGAATTTACACATTCAATTGAACATAATCGCGACGAATTAAAATGTGCATATAAACGTAGCATGTAATCCGGGAAGAGAATTTCACGTAGACTTAGAGCTGGTCGTAGACAGACGCGAACACATACACACGAAGATACAACGAGTAAAATGGGATTCGAAATTTATACTGAATGAGAAAAAAGGTAAACACGTATGTCGGTTTTTACCTTTCTTGGTCACACAGTATATTTCTAGATCAAGCTAACTAGGCAA